TGTTTTTTTTTGACGGCATACTGGGCTTTTGCAATTTTGCCAAATTTCTGGAGGCCGGCTTACCCTTTTGGCATAATTGTCTAATTCGTCTGGGGTGAAATGGCCACTGAATACAACATCTTTGTTAAATTTCGAGCGAACTCCGGGTTTTTCACGCATTTTTCTTTTCGTTTAGGTTCTCCTCTCTCTCTCTCTCTCTCTCTCTCTCTCTCTCTCTCTCTCTCTGCTTTCCCAAGCTCTCGCCTTCTCTGTCACCTCTCGCTCTTTCTCTTTCTCTTTCTCTCTCTTTCTCCCTCTCTCTCTCGCTCTCTCTCTCACTCTCTCTCTCTTTCTGGTGTGAATTTTCTGACCCGATCATTGAAGTTCTGAAGTCTCAACCCGCTGGTTTTTTATGCAGATTGACCGCGTTGGGGTGGAAGGACGGGTGGTCGATGTGCATCCGGCCCCACCGCGAGACCACGCCGGAAACAGGGGAATTCGGGTGAATATCCGCCGCCCTTCCGGATGCGGCCACCAAAAGCCGCGAGACCTCGCAGGCATTATACTAAAGTTTCAGAGGATTCCAGTTTTCAATTTGGATTTCTAATTTTCAAGACGCCTTTTGTGCATTTTGATGGCCTTTAAAGTACCTTGAAAAGAAGGCGGAGACAGATTCTGAGGGGATGCCTAGTCGCTCCGAGTTCTTCGAGTACGTAACCTTCCTATTACCAAATCTTGAAGCAAACCCTCCATCCCTTAAATCTTGTTTGAAGCGACTCCCTTGCCAATTTTCTCGTTTTTCTTGTTTTCGGGGCTACGAGGAAAATTACGAGTTTCTGGAACTCTGCACCAGATACCTTCAAGCCCCAATTTTTTGTTCCAACTTTTCCAAAAAGGGCAGGCTAAATTGCTTACCGTCACTAAACGCATTGAAAATGCATTCAACAAGTTCCATATGCAAAAAGATAATTTATATGCAGCGGAAGTGCACTAATAAGTGAGGTACCACCCAAAAGCTTGTGCGTGAAATTCCGAAGGCTGCTGGATGCCATTCTAACTTTGCAAAAGCACGAACCCCCTCCACCTCAACGCTGCCAAACACGGCCATTTCCGTCCGTCCCGTGGCACTTGCGGTTAGTGGTGGATGGACAAAAGGGGGAATTTCGGGGGTGCATTTTTGGGATTAGTCTGCTGGCCTAAAGGTCTACCAGAACACATCATTTGATCGTTTTTGGGCTGAACTCTGTTCTGTTCTAGGCTAATTTTCATCTGAACCGGCTTGGTTTTTGGAACCGGAATTTTTGATTTTTTATTGATTTGAATTTGATCTCGATTTTCATTAGGTTACTTTAACGCTTTTTATCCGATCTAGGTATTTTAAACATATAATTTAGAAGCCTACAATTTACTTACTCCTGCTACCTTACCTACCTTACACCCGGAAAGAACCCCACTTCCGTCACCTCCCCGTAAACCCCGGGGGAACGGCGGAACGCATATTTTTTTGCCCGTTTCCGCCGCTATGTGAACCACTCCGAAATGCAATCGTAACCCCCCGGGGTAGACGGATGCCGTTTTAAAAAGTTCTAGCCATTCCGGAACATGAATTTTTGCTTCAGTGGCTTACTGTATTTAATAGCAGCTATCCATATTTTAAATTTACCTAAAGGGGCCGTCAGGCCTAGATTTCGACTGGGTTTTCGGGCTGAAGCTACTCTATGGATTTTGCCGCACCCGCGGCACGCGATGCGGGGGTTAGCGATCCATAACGCAATGGAAAAGCCGGTGGGCGCGTTGCAGTACGTTGCGTGCTCCATAGAAAATCTGTTGCCATGCCTGGCCTGCTTCTATTTTTGGTGGAAACGTTCTTGGAAAGCCAGGAATTTTGCCAAATTCAACTTTTACCACCAAACCACCCGACCACCTACTTTCTGCACTTTAGAGTCCCATCTATCACCGACCCCCATGCTCGGTGGGTCTCTTAAAATCCCTCAAAAACCCAGGGCCACAACCTGCGTCAGGTGGCCCAAGTCGACCCAGTCAGAGTCGTCTTTGATCCCCGATTCTGTTCGACATACCACCCCCCAGGGGGGCCAATCACCATTTTTTTTTCTGGCGGGTTTGGCTGGTCAATACGTCGATTGTCTGGTTTTGTTAAGTCGATCTAATTTGACATTGATGCCTATCAGATCTTCATGAAATTCAGATAGAAAGAGAGCGAGTGACAGAGAGTCCAGTGAGAGAGAGAGTGAGCGTGTGTGAGAGAGACACAGAGAGACAGTGAGAGAGAGAATAGTGAGAGAGTGAGAGTGTGTGAGAGAGCGATATTGCTGGTTAGCTAGATTTGCCAACAAAGTCCAGCTTTTTTCCGCTTCAAAACTTTATATCTTATTTTGCTGATGATATTTTTAGGACCCTTTTTTCTTGCAGCCAATCGCGACATGTTGATTTGCTCATCCCATATCCCCTCTTGCTTCTGCCCTCCCCCTTGTAAGTTTTGGCTATCAGGTTTCTCAGGAAAGTTGCCAACTGTCTTTTGGGCCACCTAGTGATGATATTGGGTTCCACGAAGTGCGAAAAGAGGAGCATCTTTGCTCATTCTTCTTGTCGTTTCCAGCCGCACGTCTTTGTAATTAAAGGGGGTATTGAGGCGCGTGGGTTGGAAGCGGGTGGACACGCGTAATTTCCGGCAGATTTCGATGCTAAATTTTTGACGGGGCTGTTTTGGTTTGGCCATAAACAAATAAAGATTTTTCTCGCTCTTTAGGTCGTTTTTCTTGATCTCTCTCTCTCTCCTTTCTCTCTGCCTCTCTCTCTCTCTCTCCTTTCGTGAGATACAAAACGTACGTGATGTTCTATATATTTTTATGATTTACTTCCGCTCCTGCGTTCTTCTATGTGCTAAAAAATGCCCTAACCTTCTACTTTAGCTCCCAGCCGGTTATAAGCGCCCAACCGGAATGCGCGCATTTTGATGTCGGCGCTCCCACAAAGGCAGGGAACGGCTGAATGAGTTGAGGTAAATCGGCCGAATAACCCGCTTTTTTGGGTTTGCACTATTTTTGTAGCGCTTGATGACCAATCCTTCCATTTCGTTATTTTTAGCAACCACCATTAATGCGCCCAGGAGTGCCATGCCGCTAATGTACCATGCACTCCTTTTGGCTATCGGACTGTTTCGGATAGCGGAGGGGCTGGCGGGTAAGTAAAGGGTTGAAAATTTTTGCGGAATGCCGACTACTCAAAATGCGGACCAGTTGAAATTCTAGTCAATCGAAATGCTGACATGTCGAAATGCGCACAATTTTGAATGCCAACGGGTCAAAATGTCAAAATCCCGACATTTTCGGATACCGAGGGCCATGGCTATCTCACTAATCTGTCTGGAACTGCAATATGCTTTGCCGGCGTCGTTGTCGAGAATTTTTGCTTGTCGGCAGCATTTCTATTTTTCCTTTTCTTTTCGATAGTACGGACGTTAGAAATTTACTGTCGACGTTATTCGTGTCGCAATTACTCTTAAAATTGGCGTTTAGACAACGAAATCCCGGAACACTACCAGATTGTCGACCGGATTCTGAAGGGCTACAACCGGGATATGATCCCGAAATTCATGAATCGCAGCGTCGATGTGAAATTCTCGATGGAACTGTATCAGATTATTGAAGTGGTATAAAAATGTTGAACCGCTAAAAATTATCAATACAATGTTTAGAACGAGCCACAACAGTATTTGATGTTGAATTCATGGATTGTTGAGGTTATAAATTTGTATTTTTATGGGATACGATATAGATTTTAAACCATTTTGAAACTATTTTAAAAAACGCAGAAAAGGGTAATGTCGATTAAAAGCAGTTTAAGCTGATGAATTAACTTTAATAAATCTATTACATCGACTTCTTTAGCGCTGGGTCGACGTGATGCTTGGCTGGAATCCAGAAGACTTCGAGGGCACCTCAGAAATCGTGCTTCCACATTCAAAAATCTGGCTTCCGGATACAACGCTTTACAACTCGTACGTCACCTCGTACGGACATTCACTTATTGTTATAGCCTGGTAATGGACGAGGGTGAGACGCGACGTCTTCTGAATGCCAAATTGACCACGATTAACAACGGTACCGGGGCTTACGTTGAGATGCTTTATCCAACGATCTACAAATTGAGTTGTAACCTTGATGTTAGGTGAGGAGGACTTGCAAAATTTAATGATGTGATTTTAGATTCTTCCCGTTTGACGTTCAAAAGTGTAGTTTGACTTTTGGAAGCTGGACGTTCGACAATACCTATATTGATTACCATCCGTATAGTGGAGCTATCGGAACGACGAATTGCATAGAAAATGAAGGATGGAATGTTTTACGAACTGAAGGTGCGTAATTCACGTGTTTTCGGTGCCATTAATGCGTAAATACCTACGCTAGAACTTCCGAAAAGTGGTTGCGCATCTTTAAAGACCGTGAGCACGGTTAAAATTTCCTTAAAAGCAAGAAATTGCGCACCCGGCGGGGGTCGAACCCGCGATGGTTTGCTCCACAGTCGGACGCGCTAGCCACTATACCACAGGGCCGAGTAGGGAATGGAGTCCGGGGTGCCCCAAACCCAAGAGGGCCTTTGCTCAGTACGGGGAGCTACTAAAGACCCCTCTCTCTGCGCGTTCTTGGGGTGCGCACCCTCGGGGTGACAGTGTGCGTTCCAGAGTTCTAGCAGTCTTTAAAACACCAATCCGACGCTTTCTTTTAGTCGAACGAAAGGAAAACAAATACGACTGCTGCCCAAATAACTATACCCTCCTTACCTTTGCCATCCACATCCAACGGAAACCGCTCTACTACGTTATTAATCTAATTCTACCCACTAGTATTATAACAATTATCTCGATAGTCGGATTCTTCAGGTGAGTTTGGTTACCATAGACGTAAAATTAGCGTTTCAGCTCGTCCTCCCCGCACGAAGTGCGGCAGGAGAAAATCACGCTCGGTATCACCACACTGCTCTCAATGTCGATTCTAATTCTGATGGTCTCGGATAAAATGCCTTCCACGTCTTCGTTCATTCCGCTAATCGGTGAGCTGGTCTTTTTGGCTCTCCTTCGCTCTCTCTCTCTCCCTCGCTCTCTCTCTCGCTCTCTCTCTCTCTCTCTCTCGCTCTCTAAAACAGATATTTTCAGGGTGGTTCTATACGGCTATGATCAGTCTCATCTCGGTGGCTACCATTTTTGCCTCGCTAGTCATTTGGATTCAAAAGAAGGTAACGAAACTGCCTTTGTATAAAAACGAAACTTTCTTAGGGAATTGTTGGAACAGCTCCGCCGCCAAAATTAATGTGGTGGGCACGGTTGGTCGGCCGAAGAGTCTATTTGGAGTTGCCGCTCCTTATGAAGCAGGCTTATGCCAGGAAAGCGGCGGTAAGCTGAATTTTATTGAGCTTAAAAGCTTAAAGATACCGTCAAAAAGCGGAAAATTTAATAACTGTGAAAAATGCCTTCACAATGACGCTCGAGAGGCACAGTAACATTGCTCTTTAGGAAGAAAAAGCCCGGAACGCCGGCCGGAAGCCCAGCCTTTGGCAAAAGGTCTACAAGATGAGCCGGGTGGGTGCTTGCGATACCTTAAGAATTCTAAAGCTTGCCCTAATAACAGCACAAGCCTCATTTGCTTATGCTAGGGTAGAAGAACTTTTTCCAAGCTAGGATTAGATCCTGCATGCCTCAAAAATTTTGGATGGCTTTCGAAGTCGATTTGTTTAAAAAATTGTGGGAAACCGTTTATGCTAAATTTAAAGGGGGCTGGCAGGGCAAGCTGTAGATTTGTTGCCAATGAATTCTTTCTGGCTTTTCCGATCTGGTTCGGCAAATCTCTAAGAAAATCCATAGCGATGCCTTGCCCATCCCTTTAAAAGACCAGAGTATCATCCTAAATTGGCTTCAAAAGCTTCATGAGCTTCATTCTTCAACCTAGCTTCCCAGATTTCAGACCAGTAATATTTTCATCGACCACGCAAACACAGAAGGTAACATTTTAGCGAGGCTTTCCCGGCTTTTTCCCTCCGGCTTCCCGCTGTTTTTCGCCTCACTAAACTTTGTTCCGCCTACCCCTTAGCACTAATATTTTCTGCTTGGTTTTGCTTCTTCCTTCGGTCAGTTTCCCAATTTCACACTCCCCCTGTAGCAACGGTCGAGCTCGCTGCCCATCGTCGAGGTTTGAGACGATTTTCGAGTTTTTAATTTTCGATTTTTCACTTTCTTCCCCTGTTCCCACACTAATTGCGCCGCACCATTAATTGGTTTAGATTGTAATGTATAGGGTTTTACGTCAAGCATTATCACTTTCAGGTGGTGAACGCTTTCGGGAACCAAAACGGCGCAGCGGCCAGGCCGATGAAGCCGAAAAGTTTTCCGAATTTGGCGAACGTCTCGGCAATTAAGGGCGCAAGTGAGCCACCTGTACAAAAGAAGAGCTTGGCGTTTTCAATTGACGATCGAGGTGAGCATAACAGTGCCACATATTTGAAGGAGCGATTAAACTAGAAGAAAGATAAGGGTAGAAGAGAGAGAGAGAGAGAGAGAGAGAGAGAGAGACGCAGTGCGCCTAAGAGAAATAATCGATAAAAAACTTTTTTCCTCTCCCACATCCACTAGGAACTCTGATCAAGTTAGAAAACAATTAAATGGGATTCCGGTAAAACGGCTATGTTTCTAGACTTTGACCCCGAGGATAGACCAAGTCCACCCAAAGGTAAGCCCACTGTACCGGCCGAACCCCCAGATCTTGATATTGTACTTGTAAATCTATGAATCTATCATATATACAATGCTCGGTTGGCTCTGGCCATGCACATGCACCAGTATGACACGAATCACTATCTTCTATATGACTTATTTTCAGATAACACCCCGATGATCGATGATGAAGAAGCGCCTGAAGACATTATACGGAAGTACAAGCCGGCCAAGCAGCTGCGGAGCTCTGCCAGCATCGCTTCCTATGATAATTTGTTCCGGAATTTTGAGCCCGGACCTGGTATGGGATCAGGTTGGTGATTGGGTCTTGGTGGATACGGTAGTTCCTACTTATTACATAATTGGATGACATTCGTCCTTCGCGCAGGCTTGGGCTTGGGCTTGTGCGCGCTTATGCTTAGGCTTAGGCTGCAGCTTGGACTTTGGCGTGGGCCCGCTTTTAGGCTTGAGCTTGATCTTACGCATCGGCTTACGCCTAGGATCAAGCATGGGCTAAGAATAGGCTTTAACTTGAGCTTGGGCTTGGACTAGGAATGGGTTCAGGCTTGTGTCTTGGCTTAGGCTTAGGCATACGGGCTAGGCTTGACATGACAAATTAATCTTCAAAAATAAAAGTAACTAACAATATCAGAACATCAAACACCAAATTAAAAAGTTTTCAGCAGCCCCCACCAATACCGAACGTCGTAACCTCGCCCAACTCGAGTACGACTGGCTGGCCGCCGTCTTTGAGCGCATTTGCCTGCTCGTTTTCATTGTCCTGTTCCTTTTCATGTCGGTCGGCATTAACATGCTTGGCTGGTATTACTGGAAAAACGCCGAAGTTGTGCCGTTTTGATTTTTAAACATTTTTTACTTCCAGTACAAACTCCTTCGAATCTCCGCCTAGCGCCATACAGAACAATCCGGGTCTTGAATCGTTTTTTGTGTTGTTGCCAGTGTTCTCCATTTCGTGTCCTCCCATTGATGAGCTTAAAGTTTCACGTTGACTGTGAGTGAAAAATAAACGTTTATTATTGATAAAAATTCCATTTTGCGTATTTCATAGGAATGTTCAAAATGCAAATTAAAACTCGCAAATTAAGGTCGGGCATTCATAAAATTCGTCGTGAATTCCAAATTTTTCTTTGATGGAATTCATTAAATCGACTGCGAATTCAGAACGTCTGGTCAGCGTTTTCTAAAAACTGTTACTCTCGCGCTCTTTTTCTCCCTCTCCCTCTCTCTCTCACTCTCTCTCTCGCTCTCTCTCGCTCTCTCGCTCTCTCTCTCTCTCTTCCTCCGGCACACTTACCATACAAACCATCGTAAATAAGTTAACATGAATGAATCCAGCCTGCGTATCGAGCTGAAATTTCTCAGGCGCCTGGTCTCCCAAATAATTTACGGTCAACCAGAAATCAATGCTATTCTAAAAAAAAAATATTTAAACGAACAAAATTCCAACTACCATACACTTCGTTGGTTGGTAATGAAAAGTACTATGCTTTCGTAAATTCAAGAGGGTCCCAGAAACAGTCTCATTAATGTTATAGCAGTGGTAAGTATCTCTCTAAAGATGCCAGATTTTTTCGTAGTTGGAAATTAGACAAATTCCGCGAGCTTACGAAAGATACGTTGATTCTCACCATCACCGGATCCAGAGTTTTCAAAGTTTTGTACGGAATCGAGGTAGCAATATCGGCAATTGCCGGTAAATACGTACAGTGATTAATGATCGGGACTAATTCAGAAAAAACCGAGCAAAGGAATATAAAGAACAATAAGGTTTCGACCATTTGGATGATAAATGGTTTTCGTGAAACTTGGCGTTCGGGAAACCCGATCAGGTGTTTAGAGTGGGCATGCGAGTCATTTTAACAGCAAAAAAACTGGGTAACAAGACTGGATGTTGGGCCAGCCTGGTATATTGCAATGACAGATAGTAATACAATTAAAAAATATTTCGGGTTCGAAATATTTAGAAGCATTAGAATTTTTTTCTTTTTGCTCAAATGAATTTTCCGAATCGTTAGAAAAAAAATTAGTATTAGGGAGAACCAGCAATAACTAATAGAGGAGCGAGAAAAGGATGAGAGCGAAGAGAAAGAGTGTGAGAGAGAGAAAGAGAAACAGAGACTCAGAGAGAGAGTGAAATAGAGAGACAGATAGAGAGAAATCGAGAGAGCGTGAGATAAATATCAAGTGCGATACATTTTAAAATGTCATAGTCTATATGTTTGTTGCAAGTATGATATTTGTCATCAAAAAGCCGCCAAACTTTATTCCTTTATTATGAATTTTAACAGCGCTTCTGGCAAAGACAAGCGGCGTTCGTTGATCCGTCGTTCCAGTCGCAATTCACGTCGTTCCATGTGTCATCATTAATCATCTAAGGTCCGATTCATCAAAAAATTTAGCACTTAAACCACCATAGCACAATTTTCCTTAATCCACGTCTGCCGCTCGACCTGGGCAAAAAACGAGGGCTGTCCCGGCGCCCGGTTCTTGTACGTTACGGCCCAGCCGTCGCTGAAAATCGTTGACAATCCCAATGTAAAAAATTGGAAATAATTAGGCATGTCGAAAAGCTTAAAGCTAAAGTATACGTCCAAATGCTGGTCGTGGTGGTTGGGTGAGTCAGACCGATAAAGGCCAGCTTGGCGCATCCCTGCATCCGGAGCATGTTGTCTGGAAAACATCGAATGCATAATACGAATACGAATACGAAAACACAAATCTTTCCTTGCGCTTCCAGACCTTGTTTTCCTGACGTAAGTAAGCTAATCAAAGCGTTTTTGCTTACTGTTGTACTGCTAGAAATTCGGAGAAAGTATAAATAAAAGACGATAAAAAAACTCCACATCTAGCCAGGCCAAAGTACTGACAGAACTTGGAAGAAATTCACACATCCGGCGGGTTGGTTTCGTAGCAACCCGATGCCAAACCTGCGTAAGTAGATGTTCTCTTGTTTTGCTTTGTGTTTCAGCTGCTGAGGGTATATTTTACCTTGTTGACTCTATGAGAACGATCGAATATCTCTCACTACTATTTCTCACTCTCTTGTAAATACCAAACGAATCCTATTTATTCCGCCGCGTTTTTGGGCCAGTTTGTTGACTGAGGAGCGACAGTTTGTTGAGGCCCCGACGTGTGCTAAAAGTAGATGTATTGGATGTCAAAAAAAGATGATTTCTCGCCATTTTCGGGGCTTTCTAGTGATGTAGATGGAAATGATTTCGTTCCGGACTTTTTGCCGGCCACAACTTTGTGCGCCAAACAGCACGGCGAGGAATTGGCGATACGGTTTAATCAGGATGACCATCTCCACCGATGATATTACAGCATGCAGAGCGGTGAATATAAGGATTGCTCGCGGGGCGGCTAAATTGATATCCTCAAAAATCTGGAAGCTCTGCAGCAAACCAAGTGGCAACTCGATACCATAGCTGATGATATATGTGGCGACGCACCATGGGACGCTGAGTGTTAGGAGAGGGACGCATATCTAGTGGTAAGGGTTTTGTTAAGAATTTGCGCCAGGGTATATCACGCGCGCCCTCTCTCGCGCGCTCTCTCTCACTCTCTCTGTCGCTCTCTCTCCGCCCCTCTCTCTCGCTCTCTCTCGCTCTGTCTCTCGCTTCCTCTCTCTCTCTCTCTCTCTCTCTCTCTCTCTCTCTCTTTCACTCTCGCGTCAGCTCTCTCTCGCACTCTCTCTCTCTCTCTCTCTCTCGCTCTTTATATATAAACCTATACCTGCAACAACATATTCACAATCAATTTTTTCTGCAACTGACGCGTCGCATCACTCATATTCCCCAGCCGCGAATTCAGAACATAGAAACTATGGAAAATCATGAAAAAGCTCTAAAAGGGATCGTCGGCTTTCGGAATCGCCCGACGTACGGCCGGTGTAAAGGTGAGGCTCACGTAGATCAGTGTCACCAAGAATATGGATGCCGCCAATTGCAAGCCCTTGTCCGTATCATCGAGTATCCACAGACCCGGGACGTCGAGGAGGAAACGGTAACTCGGATGGCGCTAGGAATGTGAGTGGATCTGGTATGAGAATGGCGAAATTGAATGCCAAAATGTATCAAAAAATCTAACTAAATTTTCAATAAAAAACCCGCCGCAAAATGCCCAGGAGAGCTTAACAAACATCTTTCGGCCATTTCAAATAAAATGGTGTTGGTGACGTCTTTGCACGGACCCACCCTTAAAATGAGCTGCATGCCTGAACCTGTCAAGTCTTGCGTATAGGGCATCATCCAGCCGCCAACCCCAAGACCGGCACTGCATAAAACCCATTGGAATACCAGTATCGCCACCAAAATCCGGGGGCGGGGCCTGAAAACGTACGTTACGCCGATTGTAGTAGCCGACCGGAGAACGGACAGACTTTTGTCGCTTATAAGATTCGAAATAAAAAATACCTCGCCCAATGGCCGGCCGGCAACACTTGTCGGTGTCGATAGATGAAGCAGCTCGCAATCCCCGTGAGCAGCAACATTAATACGGTGGCAAAGATAATCTAACAAATGAATATCAATATTAGCTTTCCTTTTTAACTAGATACTGCACTAAATTAACTGATTGGCTTATTTATGTTTGCGGGCCTAGTGAGCCAGGTGGCACACGAGTGGGCATGGGGAAGGAGTGGAGGGTAGCCCGAAGCCCCCCCCCTTGGGCTGTACGGGAAGAACCTCTACAAGAACCTCTACCTGACCCCGCCACTGATACGCGACCCACGTTGCAAAAGAAACCCACCCCAATAGCCGTAGAATCCAGGCCCCCGAGTGGACCGTAGCACGTCAGCCCGAAAACCGGAAAAAAGAAATCGGGCAGCAGCAGATGTAGGTAGATCTCGAAAAGCCCAGAGCACATCTGGGTTTTATTCCTCTTTTTGTAAGATGCGAACAGTTCGGGTACCTGGTGGAAGAATAGAAATTTTGAGTACTGCTTCATATAGCGTGGCGACACAAACCAAATCAGCGCCGCCGTGCCGAACGTGATCGGCAGTCCGATGATTGCCATCGCCCCGAAGATCAGTTTATAGCTTGTGGCGTCCACGGATATCGCCATTTCAGTAAAATTTATGTTTAGTAAGGCATGGGCAGACTGCGATTCATGGCGAGAGCCAAGTCCTCGGGGGTGTAAACAGGCCGGCGCGGACGCAGGTGACTTTGGGGGCTACGCCTAATTGCAGAATGAGACGCTGGAAACCTAATTGATATTTTGGTTTGAGGTTATTGTCATTGTTTTGGGCTGGCATTAGGTTGTACCAGGGGACGACGACGTTGGTAAGCCTGATGCAATTGTCGTTTGTCTGTTTCGGTTGCCGGGCATAAGACAAAACAACGATTTTTTGAATTCACAACATGCACGTCTCGATATACGACAAGTATAGTATTCCCCTCCGTCGACGGTACCGCGACACTTGCGGCGCGACACTTGCGGAGCGACACTTGCGGCTGCGACACTTGCGGCGCGACACTTGCGGGGCGACACTTGCGCCCGACACTTGCGGCGCGACATTTGCGGCGCGACACTTGCGCCCGACGCTTGCGGCGCGACCTTGCGGTTATTTAGTATAAGCTATATAAAAATAGTTTAAGGTGTTATTTGATAAGCTGCATCCGATTTTGGCATTAAAAAATTATAAAAAGTCGGGTTTGCGACCGAAGTCACTCGATTTGGAGGGAAGGTAATTGCTACTTCTTCCGCTCTGCGACAAGAAAAAGGCTTAGTGCCACCCGGGGCCTAGTCGCTTCGGATGGGTGCGAGCTCGTACAGGGTTTCTAAATCGGGGCGCCCGAGGAGCGCGAAGCGCCCAGGCCAACCTCTGGTCCAACCTTGGGACCGAAACACGGCGAAATGCCAGACGATTCGTTTTCTTGGGACCCACTGTATTTTAATTTTTAATAGCGGTTTGAAGCAAACAAGACCCCCTATTGCTAATTGAAAAAGCCGTGCTGTGTGCTGCGGCTCGGTATTAATCAACGAAATCAATCATTTATTATTTCATAAAATACATGTCTCGATATCACATACATAGTATTCACCCTCCTTTACCGTATTCATAGCATGCGTGATCTCACTGTATCCTGGGATTTGCTAAAAGTGGGATAACTCTGGTACATGGAGAAATATTTTACCATGCAAGCCATCATCGAAGCGTTAATCCTTCCATCAGCGTCACGAGGGAAATTGATCGTCATTTTGTCAGGGACATCTTTTCGCCAAGGCTCGTGAGGGAATGTAATTAAGCCTTGCTCTTCATACTGTAAAGATAGAAAATTGCCAAATGTTGTAAAAGGCGATTATTGGAGCCTAAGAATTATATCTATTACTGCAAAACTATCCTTTCGATTAATCTTTGCGGGTTCAATTCAACGGAAACCCTTCATGAAAAATAGAAAGCAAAGTTTATTTTTGATTATAACTCCAGAACTACTATAGCTACGGGGCTATAAGTCAAGATGGTGGTTATTTGTGGTCTGATACACCTCTGGTCCAACCTGGGACTGATTGATGTAACACGGCGAAATGCCAGACGATTCGTTTTCTTGGGACCCACTGTATTTAATTTTTAATAGCAGTTTGAGGCAAACAAGACCCCTATTGCTAATTGGAAAAGCCATGCTGTGTGCTGCGGCTTGGTATTAATCAACGAAATCAATGATTTATTACTTCAGAAAATACATGTCTCGATATCACAGACATAGTATTCACCCTCCTTACCGTATTCATAGCATGCGTGATTTCACTGTATCCTGGGATTTGCTAAAAGTTGGATAACCCTGGTACATAGAGAAATATTTTACCATGCAAGCCATCATCGAAGCGTTAATCCGTCCATCAGCGTCACAAGGGAAATTGATCGTCATTTTGTCAGGGACATCTTTTCGCCAAGGCTCGTGAGGGAATGTAATTAAGTCTTGCTCTTCATACTGTAAAGATAGAAATTGCCAAATGTTGTAAAAGAGGATTATTGGAGCCTAAGAATTATATCTATTACTGCAAAAATATCTTTTGATTTAATTTTATATAGAAAGTTATTGGAAATGCTACAAAAAAGTCAGTATAGTAAGGTAAGAAAAAGCCTTATAGGGCACTTTCAGGGACGTTTTTTTGGAAAAAAGCAAAGGTTTTCGCCGCGGCCGTGGATCGAACCCGGGCCCCCCGCTCGGGAGGCGCGGATGGATACCCGTCAGCCACAGCTACAACCTCGCGAGGGGGCGAGGGGCGCCCCACGCCGCAAAGGAGGGGAATGGCCTGTCACAGCACAGGCAGGCCGTGCGCGCGGTCCCTACGTCCATAGGGTGTACACGTTGGGACGAGTACACGGCCACTCCCTGAACGTGCGCTTTAAACGAAGAAAATCAGTAGCTGAAAGGGTAAAAGATAGATATATTTATCCGGTTAGAGTTCAGTTTACTCCCCAGCCGGCACCCAATTTTTGTATCTCGGCTCCCTGTTCATCTCTAGGTGTGTAAAGTATACCGAAATGTTTGTCTTGTTCTGGCGAGTATTTTGGTAAATTTTACGCACCTGTAGATGAACAGGCGCCGAGTTACGGTAAGTGGGAGTCGGCTGTGGGGCAAATGCACTTAAACCATTTATTCAAAACTACCGTGCAGTTACTAGGCGGTAGATGGAACCTCCGATAATTTCTTTTGCCATCTATCCACGAAGCCAGCAGCACTTTCAGGGTCCTATGTCTCCCTTCATGTAGTGTCAAGGTGTAGCAGTGAAAGACTGAACCCTGAATCGAAATTTTCTCGAGCCGGTTTGAGTATTCTGACCACGTCCAGCACTGGTATATTCTCTTTTGTGATATTCAACCGGTACATGGCCAGGCCCTCATGATGGCCACAGTTTCGTATTAGCACGATTGAATTTGAAAAACCAGTAGGGATCACCGAATTCAAAAAGAGAGGGATAAGGGTCTTCCACATAACGGGAAATGTTTTGTACTGTCGTGATCTCGGGCAGCCGTATTGTTTAGTTGCGGCGAACAGTTTTTGCCTATGGGCGTGTTTTTCGAGCGAGGAGGGCCCGACGAGACTGTCGGGGCCCGAATTCAGAGCTGCCCCTCAGATTTTATTTTTAGCTCAAGTGCTAAAATCAGCGAAGAGAATTAATCGTGAAAACAATCAAGATATTCAAAAGCTCAGCGGAATATGCTGGTTAAACCTGCTGATCACGTGTTTTTTGCGCCCAGCTCTCTTGCTTCTCTGTTGTGAGAACGAGCCAAAGAATTCGCTTGAAGAATGTCTTTAAAATCGATGAGTTTTTATGCCAATATTCTTTCAACTTTATTTATTTCTAGTGGCCGGAAATTCCGCTTAAACCCACGTTGATTTTTCACCTGCCTAGAAAATTGCAAGCACCAACAAAATTCCTGGTTTATACGCTTCGTACACCGGCTTCACCTGCCGTTTGGGTCGTAGTACTTGAATCCAACACATTACTGCCCAACCCGTTTGGACTGCTACTGAAATCGGTAGCAAATTTAAACGTCCAAACTCCGGCTCTTGCTCGATTTCAAAGAATTTCGAACATGTCCCTTGCGGAGTACGAAGCACCTCTTCTTACTTTAAGGTGTGCTATGATCACACCGTTCAACCTTTCCGTGCTCTACGTCTTTCTCCACGCCCACGGCCAAACGATCGACGGTTACAGGCATTTCGGCTGCATGTTTAGGGATTCCCAGGAAACCTGATCGGCTGCTTGCGTGAGTCAATATGGCAGCAAAAAAACTTGGATAATCAAAGCTCTGTTCTGATCCGAGCGAATGGTGTTGTCCTGCAAAATTTTGGAACGGTCTTGATTTTCGAAAATCCACAACGAAAAGCCGGGATTTAGCAGCGCTTCATGCAAAGGCAGGCAGCAGTCATCGACGGCGAGGGTCTCTGGTAGGCGCAGGTCACGTCATTCCAAGTTCCGTTTCGAATCATCTAGAAAAATATCTAGTGAGGGTCCCGAAGATCCGCAGCCGTGCACCATTTTTTACGATTTAGGCAGCTATCGATAAATCCAAGAAAGGCGATTACGAATGCCCTCAGCAATTTTCAAGATTTTTCGTTGATCATAATGAATGAAGAAGAATCATATAAAAGGGCTTATCCCTGTTTCGTTTCGTATGAAAGGGTTTTTCAAAAAAATCACAACCTTCAGAAAAAGATTTTGCGTTTTTTTCTGGGAGGCCGCTGATAGTTTTTTGAAGGCCCTTCGAGAAACGCAACCGACTAATAAGCTGGGTTTTTGAGAAACGCGTGTCCCTTTTGCATGAATAATGGGGGAAAATGACCCACAAATAACCCAAAAAATTCTGGGCTTTCGAAAAATGGAGGGGACGCTGGGGACTCGGCCTATCGTGAGCCTTCGACTGATACCTAATTCTTAGCAGCCGGATGTTGCTGCAGAACGCCGGGGAGGGGCTGAACTTTTTGGGATACTACCAAAACCTTGAAAATCATAATGTATTTAGAAATCTCATAATGTAGC